GGATCCTTCCTCTCTACAGTAGCTTTCACCTGTTGTAGCCATATCTGCCTTTCCTAAGACCTTCGCCAGTCCCTTCCGCGGTTTACTAAAATCATCAGGTACTCTGTGGATGTGCTAAGAAATCATTTTCAAGTTTTATTTATATGTATTAAAGTCTTTCATTTTAGGAGCAATTTTAAAACTCCTGTCCTGTCACAAAGTGGATTGTTAGCTATTCACTGACTGATGGCAGGGAGTTTCTCTTCAGGCCCGGCCGTCGAGTGCGCTGAAGTCCTAGCGCTGTCCACTCGGTATCCAGTTCAGATCCTGAAAGGCGGCTACGAAGACTTTTCTGCCTCCTACCCTTTTCTTAGGACGCAGAAGATCCTGTACACTCCCCAGGTGACGCCCTGCAGCCACCACACTCAGGGGGAGAGGGCTTCACAGCCTTTTGCTGTTTACTTTCTGACAGAAAACCTTTTTTATTTCTGTGCGTGATTCAGACTGAACGTTCGAAGGTTCAAATTCAGCAAGCAAGAATGGAAGAGAAAATAGATCTGTTTTAATTTGAGCGCAGTTTGGTTAAAAATTTGCCAGATGTTATTAAAGTCATAGTAAATGTTCATCTGGAGCACGAACCTTTCAGAGTTTCAACTGACGGTTAATTGGTTTTGACTTTACATGTTGATAAGAATTTGGCTTGTAAAGTAGAGTAGGTGTAGTTAACTGTTTTGTTTAAATTAATTCTGTCTCCTGTTACTTATGTGCTCAGTCTGATCAGAAGTTGCATCTCTATTTAAAGTGATAACTGTGGATTGATTAGAGTTTATATTTGTGTGTGGATTTATGAAGCTGCTTCCAATTTGTGTATTTAGTCACAGTGGAAGAGAGTCTTTTTGAAAAAGGGAAGTGGGTATTATGGGCATCACAGCTATGATATTAGTTTTAAGGGTGAAGAACATTTTTAGTCATTTTTAAACATTACCATGTTTTGGAATGTTAATCAGGTTGAAATAAGCATGTTAATATAACCTCTTTAGATTTCAATGTCTGTGTTCTGTTGTTTTTTTTTTTTGTGTGCTATGAAAAGATCAGAAAGTTCCAAATCTTATAATTAAACATAATCTGTTGTGATGTTTGCATCTGCATATTAGAGAGTCTGAGCAGGAAGGAGGGGGAAAGGCTTGGAGTGGTACTATCATTTCCAGTTATCATTCACAGAGTTTTCAAACACCTCTTAACAAATTCCAATTTGTTAACAATTTACAACTGAGGCTATGTTCTTTTTTCCCATTGCTGTGCTACCATGCAGGAATTAGAAAACCTGACGCTGTATCCCGTAGAGATCCTGCCTGGTCAGCTGTACATGGCGAACCTGAGGCAGGCCTCTGATCATCAGATTCACAAAGACCTCAAATTAAAGGCCCTGGTGAATGCTTCACAAGACAGCAGCCACGTGTGAGTGAGTCTGCACAATTCTGCCTTATACACTTGATTGAATACAAGGTATACATGAATTTAAAGACTTCTGCATAGCATGCTGTAGATTACCATACAGACAAGGTAGGATACCCAGAAAAAGTAAGAAGTATCTTTGATCTTAAAATTTCTTTTTAGAACTTTAATACAATAAGTATAAGTAATATCTGCATGCTTAAAAACCCAAAATCTGGGCTGTGCCTTCTTGTGTTTGCCTGGGCCAAGAGCCAGGTGTGACT